ATAACGTTGCTATCGCTCCTTGCAGCCACAGACCCCAAACTGGATTCTACACTGCCAGCAGCAATGATCGGCCACACTGTTACGAGTACAGTCAGCAGCTATTTCACAAACTTGAAACTTGGACTTAGTTTCCTGTTGAGTCGATAGAGGAAATTCATAGACGAGCTTCACACGTGAGGAGTCACCACCTCATATGACGAACTGAGGCTCTTTCGGTGTTCAACTGCTGCTGTTGCTATGGCATCTGTTCCATGAGGACTGGTCTACATTGACAGTAAACATGAAATTGTTCAAGTTGTAGTTGACAACCTTGACACGCAGATATAATCTCAAATGGCCAGAAATCAACGCACGGCTTTGCAATGATACTGGCGCAAGCCAACAAGCAGAAGTTAAGGCATGTATGGGAAATGCAAAATATTCCCACCATCAGACGTCTCAGCAAAAAAGAAACCAAGTGCGATAATCTGACATTTGGTGACGTTGCAATTCAATGGTAGACAGGAAACAAGAAAGCACTTACGCCGGAATAACTGTTCCTGCGACATGTCCCATCTCTAGTCTTTCTTGCCACACGACAGGTTTCTCTGAACAGAAGTGCAACTGAAGATCTGTCCTTTTTTAAACAGGCACTTGGCGAAGATGCGAGATCTAAGTATGGAAGTTATAGCACACAACGTACCTGCAGTGCAGAACAACAACCTCAACCAAAGACAGGTGTGGCGTACAGCCCATTCCTGGACATGATCCCATCTGAGCAAAACACCACGAAAACAACAATGGTTGAAGCCAAGGGTCTGACACAGCTCACTGGTCAGAGATGGACAATATTTACCAGTGACTAGGAGCTGTACAAAGAACTTTTTTAACATCACATGGGTTGACAAGGTACAGTTTCAGAAGTTCATCCCAAGACTTGGTGGTATGCACGTGCTAAGGAGTTTTGTTAGTGCTGTGGGATATCTGATGGGAGGAAGTGGCATTAAAGAGATACTTGGCTCAGTATTTGTGGGTGTGCCAAAAATGTTGACCCGGAAAAAACATCCACAAAATTTATAGGCATTGAGACTTCTTGCTGATGAGTTACTGCGACCCATTGTCTCCAACACTGACGTGCACACCATGGCTGCACTCACGCAATATCTCGTCACGAAAAGCATCCAGAGTAAAACCGCAAGACTTTGGGTTGAGTGCCTCATTGACGCAGTTTTCGTTATGATGGCCATTGTTCGGGCTGAGTGAGAAGCTGACTGGACTCAACATTTTTTTGCTGTGGAAAAGAAGCTCCCCTAGTTCTTTGCGCCCGGACACGTCAAGTATGCTCAGTACGGTCTGTATTATCTCTGATCCATGAAGCGCCTGCATCCAGACTTCCACGATGAAATACGTTAAATAAATATGGTAGTCTATATATA